AGGGGCGGTGCCATGGCCGCGGCGGGGGGCGCGTGTGCCGGCGGTGGATCGGCGGCAGTTGGTAGGGTTTTGGGGCGGCAGAGGAAGAGCAGAGGAAACGGGGAGCGAGCGGTGGCCTGTGGCCATGGGGGGAAAGCAAATGACGGTGGAGCCAACAATTTCTCGTACTGTCCCGGGTAACATTATGCTCCCTAGTTTTAGTTTTAAAAAACACAAATTCAATTAAGGTCTTCGAATTAGAATTGTGTCACCCGATTTTGACCCGAGTCAACAATTTCTCAAATATCTCTCGTTCATTTCTTTTGTACTACTATATACACAGTGTGATTTCTAATTTTTAAGGCCTCCCAATTAATTGGGGTCTTCAATTTAGAATTGGTCACACCCAATTTCGACCCTATGTTCCCTGATTTTGAAGCTCTTTTATTCAATTATAAGGTATTTAATTTTGGATTTAGTTTACGGTTTTGACTGGGCCAACGATTTTTCAAATCAATCAGCAACAACGCCCTAAAATATATCAATCTCGCGCGCCCTATCACCACCTAGAAAAAGAAGCACCACTATGCGATATTGTAGCACCAATATAGTAGTCCATCATCTCCCCCGATCGTACATGCAGCCATCAATGTGAAAAAAATTCACATAAATATATGTTGATTAGCGGATAACACAGAACCACACCACGAATGCCCATCAAATCACCGCATTGTAAATAAAAATAAAACGCACTCCATCATCTCCCCCGCCCGCCAAACTAAATATTCCATCAGTTCCAAAATATAAGGGGTGTTATTTTTTGGAAAGTCGAATGTCTTCAATTTTGATCAAGTTCAAAGCAAAAAATTTCAAGATCCATAATATTAAATAAAAAAGAATATGAAACTTCATTTCATGATGAATCTAACCATACCGATCTGATATGATTGATTTTGATATATTTCTTATAAATTTGATCAAACTTAAAAGGTCATTTGACTTTTAAAAAAAGTAATACATTTCATATTTTTTAAACAGAGGGAGTAATTTTTTTATATTAAGAAACCAGCAACACCAACTGAGCAGCAAAGCGCATCCAACCCTTATAGTCTGATCAAAGTCCTCCTCTAAAAAACTAACCTTAGTCCTCCTCAAAAAATTCCTTCAGAAATGATCCAAGGCTGGGGCAACAGCCCGTACACATAGCTCCGCCTCTAAGAAGTGCCCAGCAAATGACTACAACTTTATAATGTGGTTGGGCAATAACATCATCTTGTGTTGTCTGGCATATGCTAATCAGGTGCAGTGTTCTATAGAAATTTTCCAATAAATACTGTCAGAGATACATGTTATTTGGCTTTGTTCCAACCTTCATTTTTTTGCAGTCCAGATCAACATTGAGGATATCGCTTATCGTTATCGTCTCGGTCAGCTAGGGATTAGAGATTCATCAAAAATCGACCGATTAATTGATTTTATCGATCGACTATTAATCGGATATTTTTTTGCAAATATCAGGTTCCCAACACTAAAATACACTATATTCAACACTAAAACAATATTTTACAGAAGTGTTACCTTGATTTCTAGCCTTTGAATCCTCGTAAAATGACAGAAAAAATAGGGCAATAGTACATATTCCGTAACAAGGTCCACAAAACATAAATAAACATAGTTTTTGCCAACATAGTGCGATGAATAGGTCTAATATATCGGTAGATTCCCGATAAATCGCTTGCCAGAATGATAAATCGGTCCAAAAGATAAACGGCAAAGATAAGGCATAATCATATCGGTCACCCTCCGATTAGCGATAAATCGGAAGATTAATCGGTGAATCGGAAGATTTCTTGAACAGTGGTCCAGATGCCCTACTCTGTAATTTAGAATAAAATAAGAAATCAAAGTCTGGAATTAGTTGATTGTTCTATACTCCCCTTGAAATCTAAATGTGTCTAGTGAGTAATTCAGATTAAATATTCTTTGATAATTTAGGGAATCACTGACCAAAGCATCAATGAAGAAACTAGAGCACACTAAGAACAAATTTCTACGTTATGTTACTCATTTCATATAGCACAAAGAAATAACAATGATTACTGAAGTTCCAACATGCTCAAACATAATAGCAGGCAATTTGAAGGGTTACGGTTTACTGTTTGTTAGGCCGAAGCCTAAATAGCAGGCATGGCGGCCGCCGTGGTACCTTGAACTTGAAGGTCAAACCGTATAATAGAAAGCGGCTCCACTTGTTGAACAAGAACCCGTGTGGAGTGGGTTGGCTAGTACACATCGGCTAGGACATCCACACATATGTCGCCCATGTGGCAATGCCGAACAGGCGAAAAGAAGTAAGAAATTCATATAGTATAGGACTTTAATTAGGATCCTTGGTCGTTTGCTATTGTCGTAGGGTGAAGGGGTTATCTCCGCCATATCGATCATAACAGAGAGAAGTTGCAAATTGGCAGTAGATGTAAATCACGTATCTCTTGATCTAAAGCAAAAGTTACTCCACATTACTTCAAGCCCTTTATAATGAGACCAAACACAAATGGAGGTCCCTCCTGTATCCATTTTGCCTTCTGCAGTGGTCTGGTAGAGACCATGCCGTAAAAAGCAAGGAATTTGGGGACTGCATGACAAAGGTGGGATCAGAAAATGAAGCTTCTAACTGCTTCTCTGTCTACTCCCTCCGTTCCTAAATATAAGTCTTTGTAGAGATTGATGTATCTAGATGCATTTTAGAGTATAAATTCACTCATTTTGCTCCGTACGTGGTCCATAGTGAAATCTTTCCAAAGACTTATATTTAGGAACGGAGGGAGTACAATATAAAAGAATATGGGCAGAGCTCAGAAAAAATCATGCACAAGCAAGCAGACTGCAGGCAGGCGGTAAACAAAGCTCCTATGGGCACTTCGATACAGTCTTCTTAGCGCCCCGAGATATCCTCAAGGAATCCATAGCCTCCCTGCATATTACACAGCAGTCATAAGTACTAGTACCACGCAACCAGGGTTCAAGATCACAGCGGTATAGCTGGTGCCCAATACCGCCGCCGGGAACCGGAAACGCTGTTCATATTTAGAGACTGATGATTCGAGAGTATGCCACTTTTTGAATTATCTCTGTTTTTTCATGTCTTCCACAGCAGTTGCTAACCAAATGATGTTAACAAGTTGAAAAAAAGGCCTTGGTGGTCGTGTTTCAAAGATTTTTAGCTCTGGTGACTGCTAGTGTAGCACTGTTGGCATCTTGAATAAAATACAATGTGCAGTAAAATTGTATGAAAGATATAGCATGCCGTAAAGCGTTCTCAGTCTCAAGATTCCGTGGGTCCATTTTCAAACCATCAAAAAGGGCACCACAGGCCTTTTCATAATCCTGGACAAACAAAAAAGAACGTATACAAAGTTACAAGTTTTTCTATGAAAATGATTTTAAGATAAAACAGTTCGGCTGAGCTCACCTTCATCAGCATTAGAGATGCTCCCTGCCGATAGCAGGCCTTTGGCCAGTCAGGGCGCATCATTCTACAAGTATAAGCATCCGCAAAGGCTTTGTCTCCCTCGAAAATTTGGAGAAAACAGACACTCCTATCTGAGTACAGGGTCGCATCCTCATAATCAAGGCCCATTGCCTACACTCAACCAAATAAAACTAGCATTTACTGAGTGCTAAAACATGCACTGAATGACTGGACTGAAACACCTAAAAACAATTTCAACATTACCACCGAGGAAGGATTGAAAAAGCAGAAATGAGTAAAATACAAGACTCTGTCTTTTATCAAGAACAGGCCGGTTAGTTTCCCTCAAAAGGAAGAGAAAAAAAGGGCCAGTTACCAGTTGTATTCAACCGAAATTGCCAAATATTTTTTTAAATTCCAAGCTGATCACCAGCAGAAATTGAGCCGTTACCACTAAGAGGAACAGAAATTTAGCCATTCCCACTAAGAGGGACACAATCTGGTTGTGAACGGTGGCTGGAGAAGGGAGTTGGGTGGGAGGTAAGAGGAAACACTAACCCTGACACGACTCAGATATGATACATTCTGAGGAATTAGACTTGTAATAAAATGGACCAACGCGCCAAACATCATGCAGCTGTAATGTACAGCACAAATGCATAAAACACATTACACTGGAGCACAAATGAATTGCTGCACCTATATGTCCAAACTGAACAGCCTAGTTTCTGCAACTTGACGATACTGAAAACCGTCAGTCAGTACTGCGGAGAGCGCGACCGGAAGTACCACAGGGGATCGCACACAGGGAATTTACCCAGGTTCAGGCCCTCATGGTCGAGGTAATACCCTACTCCTGCTTTATTTTAATTGATGGTGGGAAACGCCTCGTGTGAGGGGGTTACAAGTATGAGGTAATCATAGCTACCGAGAAGATGACTCTGATGTCCATGGCCCTCGAACTACCCCTGGCCTTGTCTTATAGCGAGGCCTAGGGTTTACAAGTTTCCTAACTGACATAGGACTTCAATCGGTGGGAGAGCCTTGACTTGCATGTCAAGGCAGGTTTCTTCGTATGGGAGGGCTCTTGCACGACTGGGGCTCTGGAAGGCGCCCGGACCCGTTGGGCGTTGAGGTCGGCCCACAGCACATGGTATGGTTTGCCATCCGAGAGGCCACCCCAGGTGCTGCACACCGTCAGTAGCCCCGAGCTCGTCTAGAATTCTTGCCTGACAGGTAGTTGATCTTGAGTTCTTGAGGCGACATCCTGGCGGGCTCCTTTGTGACCTCCGATGGACTGCAATGCCCGTTGGTTCCTTCTTCGATTCTTCAAAAAACCCGGCCTCGGAAGTCTTGACTCTGCTCAGGTTGAATGTCGACGGGGGTTCCGCTTCCCAGTTGCTTGGGCCAGGCCGGGATCTCACTAAGTAGTCCAAGGCCCATCGAGGAGCCCGAATTTTCGCCAACATAGTGTCTTGCCCCTCGTGCTCATGCCCCACGTGTCAGCTAATCTTGACACAGCCTTTACGGAAAGGGTCATCACTCCATATCCCGTGCCATTTGACAGAGAGCCTACACGCCGCCCCCTCCATCTTTCTTCCTCCTTGCGCCTCTCGTCCTCCAATGACGGTGAAGGCCTCGATCCGAAGCTATCGCCTTCGGAGGTGACATGTCAAGGAGGACCACCCCGGGTGCTAATCGCGGAGAGTGTCACGGCACGGCGGCGATGGACACCACGAGCCGCATTGCAATGTCGGCCACCGGAGCGTCGACCGTCAGCAAGGGTGAGGGGAGGTGGTCCATCTCCACCAATACTTACGTTTAGCTGACAGATCTGGTAAGGCAAGGATTCCTCCCTCCTAGGACCGTGTACTTCTGTGGACGCCAGCCAAGAGAGTGGATATTGTTCCAACTCCAACTAGCTAGGACAGAGTTATCCACACGTCCTTTCTCTGCCACGGCCTCTACTTGCCCCTGCATAATTTTGTGCTCAACCTTCTCTTCTACAATTGCCAATTGCATCACATCACACCAAACGGGGTTCTACACCTTGACTACTTTATTACGCCGTGTGAATGCCTCTTGGGGATCTCGCTGCACTTGGGGCTTTGGTGCTATTTCTTCAAGATGGAGCCGGACTCTGGAGGAGTCGCCATTCGACCTTGCCCGGATTTAGATTACTTCAACATCTCGGTGCCTACAGCGACAAGGAAGTGGAAAAGAGGTTGGATCTACACTCCGGACCATCCCGCAGGAATAGACGTAACTGTCCGCCGCCCTTTGAAAATTCACCTCCTCGAGAACTAGAATCCTGGGAGGCAGACAAACCTTATCAAGGAGTTGGTCTGCTCGTTCAGGAGGTCTTCTGGCTTAAGAACGGCGGCCTTGGAGGGATGCAGATTCTGAAGACTTAGCTGGAGAGAAACTTCCAGCCTTTGGCAGCGCGGGTACATCCAATGTTTGATTACGAAGGACCGAACGATCCTTGCCTGAATCGCGTGGAGGTCTCGAAATCTGAGCTTAAGTCACACATGCATTTTGTGATGCACGTCCCTTTGGATGAGATTACCTCGAGGTTGCAGTGGAGCCCTTCCATCATGGGCTTCGCCTAACAATGTAAGGGTCGATCTTCTTTGGGCCTTACAAATTTCTTGCCTTGGTTGTACCTATCTTATGAACATTCCGACCTCTCATGCAAGTTTTCAAGTTCTTCTCATATCCCTGCCTCCACAGCACGGTAAGTTGCCACCTACAGAGTTGTCGTGACTAATGCGTCTGGTATCAGGAGCAGAGTCCGGAGGGAGCGTTGGCACATCTTTTGTCGTGCCCCGCCTTGTGCTGCTTGTGAAGAGGTTGCACACCTCAGAAGACCTCAATGGAGCTTGCAAGACGAGAGCTGAGAGGCTTGAAGCCCAAAGAAGATCGCAGGTGAAGCCGATCTCGCTATTCCATAGAGGATCTGGAATGCCTACCTCGGAAGTGCCTCAGGGCAATGCACCCATCCCTCCCAGCAACCGAAGGTGGGGGTGCGCAAGCCATCCAACCCAAATGGGTGAGTTTCCGTTGTTGGCCCAATGTTCTGTCTTTATGCTTGACGTTGCTTGTCACACAAATATCCCAATCGCAGGCCCCTCAAGCCTTCAGGGAAAAAGCTAACGGGTCGGCAGACTCACCAGGCATAGTGGACGGCTAAAGCACGCGGAGAATGTCAAGAGAGGGCGGGGTAGACCGAATTTGACATGGGAGGAGTCCGTTAAGAGAGACCTGAAGGATTGGAGTATCACCAAAGAGCTAGCTATGGACAGAGGTGCGTGGAAGCTTGCTATCCATGTGCCAGAGCCATGAGTTGGTTGCGAGATCTTATGGGTTTCACCTCTAGCCTACCCCAACTTGTTTGGGACTAAAGGCTTTGTTGTTGTTGTTGTTGTTGCTGCTGCATCGGTATCACACCAACAGTCCCATGTACATGTAGAGCGGGCTAACAGGCTCATAATGCAGGGCCTCATGCCTCGTCTCATCACCCCGATTAAGCAGGCGGTTGGAAGTGGGTGGACAAGCTGCCTTCATCCTCAAGACCTTGTGCACAACTCCAAACCGGTCAACGGAATATATACCGTTCTTAATGGTGTACATGACCAAGGCGGTCCTCCCGTGAGATATCAAGTATGATTCACCACACATCCGGGGGTACGACGAAGATGCTGCAGAGGAAGCCCGAAAAAGCCACATCAACGCCAAAGAGGAGGCTAAATTGATTGCCCTCAAACACACGGCTTTGTACCAGCAAAAGTTGTGCCAGTATCGAGGTCGGTGTGTCGGGGCTTGCGAGTTCAACATTGACAACCTAGTGTTGCGTCTGAACCAAAAACCAAAGAACAAGCTTTCCTCCCCTTGGGAGGGACCTTACATCATCCACGAGGTGCTCAGCGATGGAGACTATAGGCTTCACAACGGGAAGACTGGAAGGGTTACACCACACACGTGGAACGCTGCCTAGCTACGTCTTTTTTATGCTTTAAGTTATTTCCTTTTAGGCTTTCGAATACTTGTTTAGCTTGATCAAACGTTTTTTGAATAAAGAAAATACATCCCAATAAAAAGAGCCTTGTGATTCCCTTTATCTACTGTTTTTTATTGCTAAAACTAAAAATGAACCCCTCGGAATAAACTTACGGGTTGAAACCAAACTTATCCTATGTAGCCAGACTCAGGGGTTGCATTGCGCAAAGCGAAACCCCAAGTAGTCAGCTCAGGGGTTGTCTCGTAGTGTTCCCTCTATTTGCCGGACCCAGGGGTTGCTTCATCCTCACTAACCTCCATGCGTACATACCTAGGGGCTGCATCGACGTAAGACAAAATAAATAAACCTTATTCAAGTTCACGCATCCCTTAAGAGGAAGCGGAAGACTATAATATGGTCAAGCCGGTCTTCCCCGGTGCTGCACTCCGTCATAACTACCATTATACATTTCAAAACACCAAAAATACTACATTTCAAAACGCGCTCTTAGTTGGGAAACATCCAACCAATGTATGCAAAATTCACAGCTGCAAACATGCCAATTCGATGTGTATCATAGTTTAACTGATAAGTTTGTCTTTTATGGGGTCCCTACGTTAACACACAAGAGCGATACAAAGACTGATCCTGAATGATCTTGTTTTACGTATAGATTTATCACAGATAAAAGTAAAATTTGACATATTCTATGAACAGAACACTCATAGGTTCAAGTAAACACGTGTCTGGGTCTCTGAGATTTCCAGGTATAATCAGTGACTAACAGGTGAATAGGGAACAGGAATCTTGGGAGTGAAAAATATGAAGCTATGAAAGCACTCCAAATAACCTAGGAAGGAAAATCAATTATCAATGGCGAAAATGTGGGATATCATACCTTAATGTATAGTTCAATTGCAGAATGGTAATCCTTTCTCTCGAGTGCCTTTCTTCCTTGAAATTTCAAACTAGCGGTGTCCCTTCCCAACCCCCTCTCATAGAACTGAACAAGAAAGACAGGTATTGAACAAAGATTTATGGAGAAGGATATCACAAAGCAAGTACCTGAAATTGAGCTGAAAAGTAAGAAATGTAGCTAAGCTAGCATACAAATGTCCCAAATACAATTGCTCATCATTTCTATACCTGCAGAAAGAATTGGTCCTTTCACATATAAAAATTAAAAAATATCCCCTGCACCCGTTTCAAATTTCCTTTCATAAATAACATGTGGATATGCTTATTCCAGCACTTGCACATTTCATTTCAATGATGAGCAAAATAAACTATAAAACAGGAGGGTGTTTCTTTAAGCCAAAACTTGATCATAAGTCAACTTGAACACTAGCATTATTAGTCTAAAGTTAAATATAGCCTTTTCGCCCAGCTCATACAATCATACCTTTTGCCCTGGCAATGAGTATGCGTGACATATTATTCCATTGACACTCCAATCACGTACAGACGGAATACGAGAAGTTAAAGGAAATAGGATCTCAACATCTTCTCGTGTACCACATATTGCCGCAAACTCTATTGGCATCCTGCCAAACTGTTAATGGTAAAGAGAACATGAGTCCAGAAACGAAATTTGCTAAAGAAAAAGGGAAAGTAAAACAAATGAGGCGTAACAGCCCGGATGTATTGGGCTATTATCCACCAATATATGCTAAGCTTTTTAAATTAACTAGATAAAATAAAGCAATTCTACAACTTAGACAAACCGATGTGTTAAATTACATTGTTGTAGGAATTCTTTACTAATACATGGCCGACTAAAACAAGTTCTTATTGAATAAAATATCTTCACAAGTAACAAAGATAACTGCATGATGCTGACGACAATAGCAGAAATGGGGAAACAAAGGAGAAGACACATACTTCATCAGGGACGTTTGGGTCAGCACCAGCTTCCAATAAGCACTTCATGCACTCAGTTAACCCAACAGCAGCTATTAACGGGGTTATATTACCCACACCATTTACATCAGCACCAGCCTATATATGAAAAAATGTTACATGCGCGTCCTCTTAAACATGTCATAATTTGTGCTCTTTCCTACTCCACCTGTAGGCTGTTTTGGACATATCTTTACATGGTTTTAATTCTCAAAAAATAGCACTCGGATATTCTGACATAACGTGCTGTTCAAAATCACAACAATTACACGCCATAAACGTATTTGTATCCTAGTTCCGTGTGATAAAAAGTATCAGTTAATAATCAAGATTAAATGTTAGGTTTTCCCACTGGGCAGTATAAACATGTAACCAGAATGAATTCAATAAGTTAAGAACACATGCTAGTCCATTGGTATGATACATATGGTCTTATTCATGAAATTCTGAGGAGTTCATCTCTTTTTAAGTTTTCTTTCAGAACCAGCAAAATTATTCTGTTCATAGTTGCATTTGGAGGAACAAGTGCATGTTGCAGCAGAAAATATTTCTTTGGATGCTGTTTAATGGGAATACAAACACATTGAAAGAAGTATGTTTCTGAAGAAGAGTTTGAGGATTCAGACAATTGCTTGTGAGGTCAGCAAAAGCTGCAGGGAGACTGGGACCTTTTGACATTTGCTGAGGTTCCATTACTATATTTGAATATCTGTTATCTACAAGAGGAACCCTCGTCTCTATTGAGATGGTGTTCAAATAATTGGTTGCTACAGGCCATTGGCACATTTGGCTTCAAAGAAACAGGGGAATCTTTGACACGGTTCCTCCAAAATCCCAAATTTCTTGGAGCTAGGGATACCCAGCTTCAAGAATTCTTGGCACTGGAGCTCTCCCAAAGATATCCTATGGAGCCAACAAAAGATGCTCATGTAGAAGAAACAGTGTTAAAAAGGACTCTTTGGGGTGTAGACAGAGTCCACCACCTGAAATAACTATAAACAGTAATAGCCTCACATACTAATCAAGTTGTCATCAACAGTTGAACACTACCAAAGCTAAAGGGCCCACAATACCTGGATTAGTAGCTTCACACATTTTAGTGACGGAGCATAAATAGATACAAGGAGAGGTGTGTAGACACCATTCACAATCTTATTGCACTGAAAAGAAACATAAAGCCAATTAGCATCTATTCTTAAATGACAATTATTAGGGGAGCCAAAGAAGAGTCATGTAGGTTGGTAGGTATATAGACTTGAGACTTCAGAGCATTAAAAAGGGAAATATGCACATGTTAACAGAAAATGCTCAAAATTATGTTTTAGTTCAACCCGTAATGGTCTAAAAAATAAGAGCATAACAGGAATGAAAGCACAAATCAGCCCAGCAATACTGAATCAAACAGAACATGAGCAAGAGCAGAAACAAAAGAGCATCTTAAAAATGTGAATTTCATCAAATCACACAACCATTGAGGAACTAAAAGGCATTAATCCCATACATCAGCGTTGTGGTCCAACAAAATCTTCACTGTTTGATGATGACCATTAGTAGCAGCAAGGTGCAGTGGTGTACCACGATTAGATAATGCATCAACAGAAGCCCCTCTAGAAAGCAAGAGCTCCACTATATTGCAATATCCTGGATAAAACAAAAAAAACATTACAATAGGTCATTGTTAGATAGGAATTCTATTTACGAATTTATTTTACCAATGATATATGGTAAATCACACGTTGTTCTGTACAACTTCTAATATGTAAGAAACATAACAGATTAGGGGGGGTGGGGGGTCTCTATAAGATTATTGATCAGCATCTACTAGCCTCTACAATCTGTTCATGTGTGCCTCAAGAGTTAATTCATGAGAAGTTCTATTACAGTTTGTTCTTTGAACCAAGAAAGAGGTACATGCTCAAGGAAAAACAGAACAGTATGTGGATTTGTTTCCTCACTCTGAACACGAACAAGGAGTTCAAATTAAAAGGTACGAAATCAAATTGCAGAACACTTCCACCGGGCTCCAGCCATAACTTGCCATGCAAACTGCATGAACAGATATTAGGGCCAATTCGTCAGAATTAGCAGTTAGTTAGCACCTCTCATATCCTCATGTATGGATCTCTCGGCACCTAGCATGCATGAATTCCAAGGATTAAAGCTAACTGTCTGTAACGCTTGGGTTCCACCCTGAACAACAACTCGATCAGAGCTACGAAAAATAAGCACTAGTAGGTTCAGTAGTCTTAGTCTTCCTAGGAGAACTGATTTTATTCTATTGAACTGACTGGTTTACTTCTTTTGTCGTTTGGTCTGTCTGCGTTGGTTGGGATGTGTTGACGCCAATTGGCTTGAGGCTGAGTTTGGGCTGCCCATAAAGGGCATTGCTACACGGCCATTGCACCGAGTTGAATTTTCCCATCACTGAAATACAGAAAGGCTATGCCAGATGAGCGTGTTGACAGGAGAGTCGGTCTATCCTGAGTTCTTGAGAAGCTGACTAGGGATTTCTTCCTGATAGGTCAGTTCTAATCTCTTGATTAGAGTTAGCGAGTTGAATCCTCGCAATCGACCCTGCCAAATCCGTGCCAATTACTACACAAGTTCAGGGAAATAAAAGACATGTGTCATCTACTTACCAATCACATAAAACAACTAAAAGCACCCCGTGGTCAATTATAATTTTCATTATGCATGTCTCCCCAAAGCATGGAAAAGAAATTTCAGCGCAATACACAAATAAAGAGGTAAAAAGTGCTGGAAAGAGACCTTCTTCAGCTGCAATATGGAGAGAAGTAAATCCTTTGTCATCAACTTTATCTGGATCAGCGCCATGGTCCAGAAGATACTTCACAGTAGCTATATTTGCACCATTAATTGCATAAGCCAGAGGCGTTTCACCTATCATTAAGAATTCACAAACAAATAGTATTATCAAATTAAGGAAGCTTTTGGCTACCAAATGTATTAATTTATCACAAGCATGATCTTAAAATTTACACAGGAATTATCCACAGCAATGTCATAAGGACTCCTGGGAAGTACTAGGATGGGTGACCTCCTGGGAAGTCCTCGTGAAAGGGTTTCATATCTAGCCTACCCCAACTTGTTTGGGATAAAAAACTTCGTAAGTAGTAATGTCATAAGGACTCCTCTCAATACGTTGAAAACACTGAATCCCACACAATGATACAATTGGCGTCTTTTTTTATTCACTTCCTCAGATTATTAAAAACAAGTGCATCATTAACAGCCGTGGTACTTTACACCTAAAAAGCACGGACACGCCTGGAAGTGCTGAATTGCCGTTCTGATACGGCGGGATACGGGGAAACGCCGGGATGCACGAATTTTGAAATATCCCCCGAATTTCAATTTTAAAAAAACACAGGGATACGCCGGGACACGTGCGGTATACGTTTGGGACACGGCCTGGCCCAAAACAGCCTTGGGCCAACCCAGTACCTAATCTATTTTGCAGGAACTCCCGGACGCTCTCATCTCAAGGACGAGGTACTCCTTCCCAGTCTCCCAGGTCGCACTGGAACGCACCGCCAGCCTCCTGGATCAAAGCCGCCTGGACACCTGGATTCGACCAGCGATCGCTGGCGCTATCCCCAGCCTCGCAGGTAACCCACTAGCATCTCCCCTCTCCCCTCTCCTCTTTCCTCAACCTCTTCTTCTTTTATTCTTCAGATTTGCTTGTGCTGCTGGATGTTGCTTGCCTGCTTGCTTGTGCTGTCGCTGTTGCTCATGCTTATGCTGCTGCTCATGCTTGTATTGTCTTCCAATTATGTCTTGTCTTCTAATCTTCTTTACTGTTTGTGTTTGATGTGTTTTGCAAGATGGATGCAGCTTACAATGACAACATAACATGGGGGGATGAGGATCAATCAAGCACTTGATAAAGGAGACACCAAATGGGGCACTATTCTCTATTCTGGTCTCTTTCTCATTAATTTTCTGTCTTAACTGTATATTACATGGCATATTTTTATTTTATTTTATATATATTCGTCGTATCCCCGAATGGCTGTTTATGGAAAATGCCGTACCCCATATCGCTGTATGTGTATCCCCGTTATTCCATCCCCGTGTCCGTGCTTTTTAGCTTTATACAAATGTTGGGCGCATGGCACAGACCTTTTAAAACTCATTAACAGCCTATAAAAATTAAGAATAAAGATAAGGAAATATTAGGATGGCATAGTATTGGGTATTCAATTGTAAACATGAGAAAGAGAAACTCACATGGGTTGTATAAAAATGAATATCATGTGAACATCATGTTTTTTCCACTACATACCGGATATCGCAAGATCAGATGCTATATCAGAGGATACACACATACACATCAAGCGTCAGGAGATGGTACATTTTGGCTAGTAAGTTTTCTTGCTGGCAACTTATAAGTAGAGTAACTAATGGCACAAATTGCCAGAATTTCTAAAGATGCAATATAGCACGAGCATTATAAACTTTTAACACTGCCCGATTCGAGTTTCTTAGCCTTCCAGAAAGGCAGAAACCATATCAGACAATGCACACGGTTTACAATTAATGTAATGGAAAATAGTAGCATTTTGGAAACAACTGCTTTAGAACGTGCCACGGAAATTAGATAACGGTTAGGAACTCAACTACCAACCAAAAATGAAATATCAAAACAATACTCAGCGAAGCGAAATTCAACAAATCAAAACTTCATATATGAGCTGAGTCCATTAATCTGGACTTACTGCCTCAAGCACAAACACAAAGGACCTCCAGTGCGATTTCACATTTCAGTGGAATAAGAAGGTAACTGACAATTAAAAGTATTGTTTTGCATAATCGTGTAATAAGTGTAACCGTAGAAAATCAATCCAATGAAGCAGTTAATTTCGCTCTTGCCAAGTCCTGATTTCCAGTAAACGAGAAAGTAAGGAGCCAAACTAGCCACCAAATTTCGTAACGATGTACTAACCAACAATTCAGGGCACAAAAGAAACCCCAGAGCAGTTGTAACTTCGTAACTTGTGAAGTACACAATGGTCAACATGGTTTCAAGATAACAAATTAATCAGCATATCGCCATGCATGTGCACTCCTACTGAATAGTATATATACGTGAGGAGAGTCACACGAAATCAGATGTTGTATCACAAATTAAGCGACCAAGCACTCACACACGAAATGGCATTACTAAATCAACAGTACATAATTACAGATATCCCTAGCTGGAAGCAAACTGCACATCGGTCAGGCTTTGTTCGGTTACACCTCCTCCCAAGGGGATTAGATAGGATTGGAGGGGATTTTGACTTGTAGGGGAATTAATCCCCATCAATCCCTGCCAATCCCCTTCAAAATCCCTGTCAACCGTACAGGGCCTCAATGAGTTCCCGAACGACCCACCAGCGCCACAATATCAACGAATCCTCCCTCGCAATTCGGAAAAAATAGTGGGGACTTTTACGCCATGGAGGCGTTTGGTTTACCTCCGTCGTGGATGGCGTTGATATCCACCCGGAGCTCCTCGACCAGGTACCTGCACATCGCCAGCTCCCCCTGGCCGGCGGCGAGGTGCAGTGCCCCCGCCGTGCACTCCACAACGGCCTCTACCGCCTCCGTGACGCGCCCGCGCCCGCCGTCCATCATCCTCGCCAGCCCTGCGAGCCCGATCAATGAGAAGCACCAAACCAGCAACCCAGCCGGAGAAAAAAAAATGAATCGGAGGAGAGCGCGGCGGCGTACGTTTGAAGAGGACGAGGTCGCCGTCGGACGCCGCCTCGAGGAGCAGCTCCTCCTCCGGACGGAGGGGCGCAGACTTAGGGGGTGGGCGGCGCCCGCCACGGACCGGAGGGGGGCGAGGCGGCGCCATGGCGATCGATGATGGCTGGATGCTCGCGAGCGACCGCCGCCCGCAGCTCCCCTAGGGTTTGGAAGGGTTCGATTGGGTTTGAAATTTCGCAAATTGGGGGAAGACTGATGTTTTTTTTTTCCGCCTCAATCGACTGAAACAGGGCCCCACGCATTGGAGCATCTTTCCAATAGATGATGCAACACTACATTCATACATATTCTAACGATCCAATACCAATTTTGACATATACCTTGCACTCGATTTTGGTAAGATTTGATTTGACTTAAGTATGTGTAGAGGAAGGTGAAGAAGAAAATGGTTTCGATTTAGCTGAGATTTTGGTAAGATTTGATTTGATTTGGGTATGGTAGAGGAGACAAAGAAAGTTTTGATTTAGCTGAGCTTTGATAAAATTTGATTTAAATTCATTGAGTTAATGTAGAATGATTTATAGTAGGACAAAAAAAATAAAAATATCATTTTGATAACCTGGCATTGCATATATTTCAACAAACAAGCCGATTATATAAACAAATATGTGTATATCTACCATGGTTGCCAAAACGATGGATATCGATGAAAACTGGGCTAAGTCCACAAACCGACACCAAATTGGGGGAGGGAGGTTTAGGGGGTCGGGACGTCCCCTGCGTCGGGCTTCAACACCATGGGTGCACCCAAAAACCCTCCTTCCGTGTGTTCTCTTGATAACACTTTGCGTATGTAGAACGGTTGTGGCTGGCAGGTTGTCCGCATTCACACTGGTTTAGGCCATCCGCCCCGAGTAGCGGGCTCTGGGGCTCCGCATTCATCTTGTTGCTCCACTTGCCTCAACTATTTAAGCCGGTCGGCTAAGGCCCCAAAATAGTACCCCCTCCAAGCCCTTCACCCACCGTCCAAATCGCCCTCAAACCACCTCCGCATTCTCGTCCATTATCAGCTATCACCATGGCTTGCTCCTTCGCCATGTGGTACAAGAGCCTCATGCCGCGTGCGCCCCCAAAACGCTATGGAGTTCAACAATGTAGAGGTCAGCGCCAGCCTCACGTTGATGTGGGCCAACCTTAGAGCTCTCCGGACCGCTCGAAAGAGGAGATGTATGAGGGCGTCGCCATGAAGGTCCAGCATATGCATTCGCGCCTCCGGTGAAGGGCCTGCTAATGTCTGGGTTCAGAATGCTATAGGCCATGCAGTACTGTGATCGGGTGCTTGCTGAGGCGGATGACATGGAGAGGCTCCTGCAACGGTGGAGGATTCGCCAGTGTTTGCCATTAGGCAACTATTGGCGGAGCAGCACAACAACCTTCAGCTCCCAAAAGAGGACCTATAGGTGGAGGACCAGCTTTAGGCGAAGTGTGTGCCCAAAGTTGTCGTCACGAAAATGGTGAAGGCGAACCCGGTGATCGTCAACGTCAACTCACCCATGTACACATTTGTGCACACTGCATGCACCATCCTGGCCACCTCCGCCAACGACGTCGAGGGCAGACCGTCCCGTGCAGGGGCTTCGACCAAAGGCCAACGTGCTTTACAACATCATGCAAGCTGGAGGTGACCGCAACATGCTCTGTGCATGTTGCAATGGATGACCAAAGGCCTACACATCTACAACGTCAAGCAAGCAGGCAAGCTGAAGATGACCGCAAACATGGTCCATGTTACAATGGATGATCGCAACATGATTCGTGTTGTGATGATCCGACAACTACATGGAATAGATCCAACAACTTGTGACCCAACAAATCTTTGTCAAATATCAGTCGGCCGACACGTAGCGTGACATTATTTGGAACAGACTCCGACCAAATTAGGACTCCTGGATCTAAAATAAGGAAGCTCCTAAACTAGCCAACATTTGTGCTAGCTACTGAATTATAGGAAGGGGCTAGCTATACATAAAGCACCTTGACATAACCAAAATTTAACCCCTCGCACATTTGATAGCAGTGCATTCTTCAAGTTTGTTGCGTCTGTTTCAAGTTCAACTTTAGTCTAACCAGCTTGTGTGGCATATGTGAGAGATTGTAGATAGGCTTAAGCTTCAACTTTTATTAGGGGGGCTTAAGTTTCAGCTTGCAGGGCATCAGAAACTCATGTTAGCTTCCATGCACCAGATCGATGCAGCAGGCACATCATGAAAGTCCCTGATCACAAAACCCCATCCTCTCCACTACAATTGCGAAAAGGCTCCATCAAAGAATCAAAGTTAATCTTTAGAAATCTTGTTGTGGCCATTTCTAATTTGTTGTAGCTTAGATCGGAGGCAAATTTGCGTTACCAAACAAAATTCAATAAACTTCGAGATATATCGTTGGATTTGAGTTGCAACCTATCCTCAAGATTTTAGAGCTTCTCCCACCTTAACTCACTTACGCTTGGTCCAGACAACCCAAAGCAATCAAAAAAGATTCAATATCCCTATCCCTCTGCGGTCGGGTCCATCAACTTACTTACTCTATGTAGCATATTTTGTCCCAATAATTCATCCTGGAGCCCGGGCTCATCTGCTCCCGCTCAGTAAAAAAATTCAAAAACAATATTAGAAAAATTCAAAAAATTCCATTTTTTTTGTGGTGGTAGATAATTTGACGTGTGAGGTGCGCCTCAAAATTCAACTTATTTGGACATCTGAGCAGCTCTCGGCAAAAAAGACAAATCGGGTCAAAATAGTGCGTGAACAGTATACATTTTTACAGACCCTGATTTTGTCTTTTTTGCCGAGAGCTGCTAATATGCTCAAATGAGTTGATTTTTGGGGCGCACCTCACGTGTCAAATTATCTACCACCACAAAAAAAATTGGAATTTTTTAAATTTTTCTAGTATTTTTTTTGATTTTTTTTCTAAGCATGGGTGCAGATGAGCCCGGGAGCCAAAACTCCGCGTCCATTTTGTCCACTCATTGTACGTGGTCATTGTGCAATCCCCTTATGAGTCCATGGATCGGTCCAGATATTGGCCATCGTTCCATCAATAAGCCAGCATGTCATCAACACCTTGAGCTGTTAGGACAGAGCCATGAGGAAAGTATTTGGCTTTAAAACTTGTAAGAATTTGGGGATTTGATCAACCGCCTCTCTATTTGGCCAGCATAGCCAAATTAAAAGGCATATAAGTCCCGGAAGCTTAGTCCACCTTCACACTTAGGCGGTTTCAATGTATCCCAAGAAAGCTAGTGTAATTTATCCTTCTCTTGTTGACTCCATCAATAGCAACATATCATTGAGCTCATTTGTCAAAAAGTTTTTGTGAGGGTAAGCATGACATCGTGTGTGTTCGAATTGCCTGGGCATTTGCCTTGCGAACCTTGCCTTGGACAACAATTTTTCACGCCACCCGTAGCCGTGGATATGTTTCCAAATAAGATCCTTTAGGTAGTGAAACACCTTAATCTTGGAGTGACTAAAATACACATGCAAGTCCCAATATTTCTCATTAGCTGCATGGGGAGATGATACGTCTCCGTCGTATCTATAATTTTTGATTGTTCCATGCCAATATATTCAACTTTTATATACTTTTGGCAACTTTTTATATTATTTTTTAGGACTAACATATTGATCCAGTGCCCAGTGCCAGTTCCTGTCTATTGCATGTTTTATGTTTCGCAGAAACCCCATATCAAACGGGGTCCAAACGGGATAAAAACGGACGGAAAACTATTTTTGAACTTTTGTGATTTTTGGGAAGTAAAATCAACGCGAGACGGTGCCCGAGGTGGCCACGAGATAGGGGCCCACGCCCACTCCAGGTGGGCGCGCCCCCACCTTCCTGGGCCACTTGTAAGGCGGTTGATGCCCTTCTTTGGCCGCAAGAAAGCTAATTTTTGGAAAAAAGATCTGGGCGGAGGTTTCAATCCAATCGGAGTTACAGATCTCCGGATATAAAAGAAACGGTGCCAGGGCAGAATCCCAGAACACAGAAACAGAGAGAAACAGAGAGATAGATCCAATCTCGGAGGGGCTCTCGCCCCTCCCAAGCCATGGGAGCCAAGGACCAGAGGGGAAACCCTTCTCCCATCTAGGGAGAAGGTCAAGGAAGAATAAGAAGAAGGGGGGGCTCTCTCCCCCTTGCTTCCGGTGGCGCCGGAACGCCGCCGGGGGCCATCATCATCACCGCGATCTTCACCAACACCTCCGCCATCTTCACCAACATCTCCATCACCTTCCCCTATCTATATTCAGCGGTCCATTCTCCCGCAACCCGATATATCCTCTACTTGAACATGGTGCTTTATGCTTCATATTATTATCCAATGATGTGTTGCCATCCTATGATGTCTGAGTAGATTTTCGTTGTCCCATCGGTGATTGATGAATTGCTATGATCGGTTTGAGTTTCATGTTTCATTATTGGTGCTGTACTATGGTGCTCTCCGTGTTGCGCAAGCGTGAGGGATTCCCGTTGTAGGGTTTGCAATATGTTTATGATTTGCTTATGGTGGGTGGCGTGAGTGATAGAAGCACAGACCCGAGTAAGTAGGTTGTTTGCGTATGGGATAAAGGGGACTTGATACTTTAATGCTATGGTTGGGTTTTACCTTAATGATCTTTAGTAGTTGCGGATGCTTGCTAGAGTTCCAATCATAAGTGCATATGATCCAAGAAGAGAAAGTATGTTAGCTTATGCCTCTCCCTCAAATAGAATTGCAATAGTGATTACCGGTCTAGTAAAGTAGTCAATTGCTTAGGGACAATTTCACAACTCCTACCACCACTTTTCCATACTCGCTATATTTACTTTATTGTTTATTTATCTAAACAGCCCCTACTTTTTATTTACGTGTTTTTTATTATCTTGCAAACCAATCCTATCACACCTACAAAGTACTTCTAGTTTCATACTTGTTCTAGGTAAAGCGAACATCAAGCGTGCGTAGAGTCGTATAAGTGGCCGATAGGACTTGAGAGAGTATTTGTTCTACCTTTAGATCCTCTTTGGGTTCGACACCCTTACTTATCGAGAGAGGCTACAACTATCCCGTATACTTGCGGGTTATCAGGAGACAAACTTGTATAG